TTCCTTATAAGTAAAAGTTTTCCAATGTCACCCTATGATACGAACGTAAATTGTTGTAGTTAAGCGGAAAGTTACTTAATAGGTAAAGTGTGAAAATTTTTATAAAAAAAAAAAAATAACCTTTTAAGAAAAAAATATATTTACACGTTTTTTTTATCAGATATCACGTGAAAATTATTGTCGCACAAAGCATATTTTATTGTACTTTATATAAAAAAAATTGATATAAAACGTTGCTGTTCGACTTATTTTCACAATAATTTTTTAAAACTCAAATATTGAAGTCCGGGGGGAAACAAAGTAAAAAAAGGTTAGTATTACCTGTTAAGGTCAATTAAAGAAATCTGGAAAATCCAATGCGATCGCATTTGGTAATTCGTTAATTTTTGTGATTGAAATGATAACGCTTGAACCCCGTCTGGTTCCGTGCCCTTTGGAAAATAAAAAGAAAGATCTAGTTAAATTGATACTAAAGAACCCGAAAAACATGAAATCAATCTTCATTCATACCATGATACGTACGTATTTATCTGACTCTTCGAAAATACATCATTATAGTTTGTCGCACCATTTGTCGTAAGGTTCGTGCCTTAATTTGGGCTACGACTCCGTTTCGGCCTGGATAAAATTGCTTAAATAAGCCTGCATGTCGAACCAACCCATCCGAAAAGAATAAAATATACTACAAAAAAGGAAAAAAAAAAAATCTAACTAAAAAATTGTCCAAAAGAGATCTGGATTAAATTCTTCCGGATTCATAAGAGCAAAAAATTTTGTGTCTGCTCTAAATGTATATCGCCTATTTCGTCTTTTAACCACAATTAAAGGAATCAACCTAATCACTTCTTTAATTATACAAAGAATATGTGATGAAACCTATTGAACTTGACGTCTACATATAAAAAAAAGTTTATCAACATACACACAATTATATATATATAAATTTTTTTTAATAAAATGTTTGTTTAAATCTAAGTACCATATCAGTTCCACCAATAAAGACTTTAATAAAATTCGATATAATCACATCTTCGGTACGTCCTCAAAATCGCCATTTTTTCTGTCAACACCATCTTGATTTTTAATCATCGAATAAAGACATTATATCTCGCCTATTCTCTTGAACATTTTTTTCCAACAAAACTTCTTCGCGATGTAATTCTCTATACTATTGTTTTAACGACTATTGTTGTAGTAAGACGGATGGTTTGACCTGTCTAATAAGACCATCGCTTTGATTCATATTCACATAATAATTTCGTCACCCTATGATGAAGGAAAACCGCATCCAACTAGTAAATTCTAAAAAAATATTCTCATCATGTAATAATTTTCGCACTAAAATCTTGCATTTATGAGTAAGGTACGGATAACATTCTATTTCTTCTCCAACTCCTTAAATAACTGTTCACAACCATATATAATTATGATAAGTTTCCAAACTTATATACCAAATTAGGCAATCGAATGTCAATTAAAGATCATATCATATTCGGAAAAAATTAAAATATACTTACATCTCCGTTGGAAAAGACTACGTTAGTAGCGTAGTTCGAGATCCGGGAAACGATTTCTTCGAGGATGTTTTAAAATACAAATCTAATTCGCAATTGAAATTCGAATATAAGTTGGCCGACTTGAATAATCATAATCTGGTCACGTAAGTTTATTCAATGTCTGACAAATGTTGAAATCAGAACGCATCAAAACACCTCGAACATCCTCTTCATTTATTATCTCTATTTCGTCCTCTCAAATCTCGGTAATTCGTCGAAGCGATCCAAAGAACCCTTGACGGTGGGTCATATTGACCCTCGTAGTATGCTTTGATTTATTACATTCCATGAGAATATGTAACGGGTATCGGAAAACACAACGCTTCTTTCAGGATTAAACTAGAAACAAAGATATGTTGAGTAAATATTACAAGGATATCGAAATTTACATACAGTACCAAACTTACGCGACAACTTTATGGACATGCTCATCAGGAGGTGTAAATTTGGTTATTAGGAGTTCGTCTTGTTCTGGAGTGAAAGATTTCTCAACTGAATGTCATGGTCATGGGAATTTGTATCTTCCATAAAATAATGTCTTTAGCATCAACGTTAGCGAAGATTTGTGTAAGACCCTGAAGTTAAAAAATTTCGAGCTCACATGTTAAATGTCATGCGTTTATTTGAATTTCTTTTCTTTGTTAAATGATCGACATAATTTATTTACAGTTATATGATTCAAAATGAGAGTTTAGAGTTCTAATACAAAAAGGATTATTAAGATTATGAAAAAATATTTTGAATATGCTAAAAATTAATTATACTTGTTACTGTAATTTAAATTTAGTTTTGTTTTTTCACTTATATAAAATATTCTTGATATATACTTTGTAGAATAACCATTATTCCATAAATATATAATTCTC